TTTTTTTTTTTTTTTAGACGGAGTTTTTGCTCTTGTTACCCAGGCTGAAAGTGCAATGGCGCGATCTCAGCTCACCACAACCTCTGCCTCCTGGGTTCAGCCAATTCTCCTGCATCAGCCTCCTGAGTAGCTGGGATTACAGGCACGCGCCACCATGCCCAGCTCATTTTTTTTGTATTTTTTTAGTAGAGTCGGGGTTTCACCATGTTGACCAGGATGGTCTCGATCTTGACCTCATGATCCACCCGCCTCGGCCTCCCAAAGTGCTGGGATTACAGGCGTGAGCCACCGTGCCCAGCTGGTTAAGGATTTTAAAACCAAGCTCCACAAGCTCTTAGTGAATTACCCTATGGAAACTACCTAGAAGTTTTGAGGGGGGTGGTACAAAGGGGGGTTAAATGCAAGACTTTGTTTTGGCAACAAAAAATGACAGTAATTTGATGTCTACAATTTTAACTGTACCATGTCCCCTTTCTTACACACTTTCTGCAGATTGTTTCGTGTGAATGCACCTTCCATGTGACTTCTTTAATGCACTGGCATACTCTGTTAATGCTGTTGAAGAATATATGTTCTATGCTGTGATAAGAGGTGATCGTAATGCCCAACTCATCCGATACAGCATCATAAATTGAAGTGAAAGAGATTTACTAGATGTTTGTTTTATGAATGTGAATGAAAGTCTTATTTTGGGGGTGTAGTTTCTTATTTTTTAATAAAAACAGTAGTCATTATTTTAAAAAGCACATTCTCCTAGGTGCATATTTATATACATATACAAACACCTTTTCCTCCCCCTTGTGCCCTTCTGGGTAGTCATTTTAAAAACTCAAGCCTGGGGTCAACAAGGGGGTAGATTTATACTCCCACCTAACTGTCTGGAGTATAGAGTTCAGATCGTCTCTTAGGAAGTTTTATAAATGAGATTCACCCAGTATAATTCTTAAACAGGGGTCTTTAAAATAATTTAAACACTTAAGTAATCAATAAGGGTTCTCTGAAGGCCCACTTTTACATGCAAATACAGACGAACTGTTAACATGCATTATTTTAGTCAACTGGTAAAATTTATTTCATAAGTAATTTTAAGCCATTTACTAAACTGTAAATTTCAATCCATTAAAAACTACTACTGGAACAGTTCTGAGGTATTACTGTTAATTTAGTATAGAAATGTTACTGTATTTTGATGTGGTATGAAATGCAGCCGCCATGCCTCTCATGAAACGGTGCTATCATGGAGCTGACTACAGACATGTCCTATGCTCTCAGGAAATTATTGTGCATGTGCATTAACAGGTTTTCTGAACATTAATGGCAATTTAATTGGTTGGTCATTTGTAAGCATACCAAAATAACGTATAGCCCATAGTATGGGCCAAACACACTGAGACATTTGAGGCATACAACACTACCCCCAGTCTACTTTCATCAGAAACCCAACCTACTCGCTCAAGTCATTTACAAGGAAAACTAGTGCAGAAAGCACCCTAAAAATATTGCCTGTCAGCAGGTTAATTTTCTTCTAACGTTAAAAGAAGTAGATATTTTTTCTTTTAAAATTCATTTATAAAAATAAATTTCAGTTTGAGACCCTACGTAACAAATTGTGGCTTAATTTAGTCGAGATGGATGTATTATAAAGTTATGAAAAATGCAGTTGAAAACACATGAGCTCCAGCTCATTTCTACAGCGTGGCCAAGAGCTGCCACTCTACGCTGTTGCAACCCTTCTCATAGGTAACCAAAATGTGCTCAACTTCTTGACAAACTTTTAGCCTTCCTTTGTCCTGAAACTCCCATAAAACCTTAATTCTTAGACCAACATTATAAAACTATTAGTAACCATAATACATTCAAGATAGGAAATGAAGACCTGTCACCCACTCAGGAGATACTGATCCAGGGCACTGGGACAACACGGCCACTCAGGGGAAATAGTCACCCTTGAGGGTGTACAGCTCTTCAGATGTTTTGCACTAGAATGCAGGCATAAAGTCCCTTACGTAATTTTCATCTCCAAGCAACAGTAATTTAAAAATCAGTTGGAAAGTGTCAGCAGGTGCTTCTAGGTTCTGTGCTGTGAGCCCCCAGGTCCTGGCGTTGTAGGGCTCTAGATCTCTCTGTACACGGGATAGAAACACAGTCACATGGAAATGCCAATATGACTTACTGCTTAGGGCTGTGCTGACATCGGCATCTCTGTTAGACTGGTTCTCACAGGAGAAGCTTCTTTTTGCCTTAGTCAGGAGATTATTCGAGGAATAGTAAAGAACTGAACCAAGGAAGGAGTTACTGGCTTCCAAAGCCACACACACACACACACAAAAGCAAGTTTCAAACTGTTCTCCTCTCTCAGTGCAAACAAGCAATTGGCGGACCTGTCACATATCGTCAATCGATATGAACACAGCATTCAGTCTGTGGAATAATGTGATGCAGCAAAAATCTGATCTAATGCAAATTCAAGCCTATTAAATAAAACCACAGAAAGGAGAGCCAGCCCGGCTCAGTGTTCTTGCGCACGGACACTGACTCTGAGCACAAAGGCAGCTGAAAGGCACGAGGCTCAGATCTCACTGATCGTCCTCTCCGAAGGGCAGTACTCCGAGGGTCCTGGCGAGGACATGTAGAAAGACTGCGTTTTCCTTTTCAAACGGGCCCTTTTGTTGGCCAACACCAGACTGCGCCGGCTTGAACTGATGATTTCCGAAATGAATTTCTTGCAGTCCACACACACCTCCATGGTGCTCCAGTCCTCCATCAACTCTTTGGGAAACTGGAGTTCTTCATCGGATTTGTCCATAGACTTAGATTTTGAGGAGAACCTGGGGGAAAAACAATAGAAAACAAAACAGAAGCCCAGCATTGTTACTTACAGGTCTACTGCAATATTAAGAAAATATGTGTTAAAAAAAGGTAAATTTGTCAAAACATCATGGAATGGATGAGTGATTTAATCATATGTTCTTCCAAAAAATTTCTTATTTGAGACAAGGCTCAAAAATGTTACTTAGAAAAGAAAGCAGGGGGCCAGGCATGGTGGCTCATGCCTGCAATGCCAGCACTTTGGGAGGCTAAGGAGGGCAGATAACCTGAGGTCAGTGGTTCAAAGCCAGCCTGGCTAACATGGCGAAACATGGTCTCAACTAAAAAAAAAAAAAAAAAAAAAAAAATTAGCTGGGCGTGGTGGTGTGCACCTATAATCCCCACTACTCTGGAGGCTGAGGCAGGAGAATCACTTGAACCCGGGAGGTGGAGGTTGGAGTGAGCCGAGATGGCACCACTACATTCCTGCCTGGGTGACAAGAGCAAAACTCTGTCTCAAAAAAAAAAAAGAAAGAAAAAAAGAAAAGAAAGCAGGAAACATGTCTTATTAAGAAACAGGCACTGCCCAGACTATCGAACAATACAGTCAGGATGACTAAAGGTGACTCCAAGAAACCACAGGGCAAGATGTCTGCTTATGGCTTCTTTGTGCAGATGTGCAGAGAAGAACATCAGAAGAAAAACCCAGAGGTCTCTGTCAATCTTGCAGAATTTTCCAAGAAGTGCTCTGAGAGGTGGAAGACAATGTCTGGGAAAGAGAAGTCTAAATTTGATGAAATGGTAAAGGTGGATAAAGTATGCTATCATTGGGAAATGAAGGATTATGGGCCAGCTAAGGAAGGCAAGAAGGAGGATCCTAATGCACCCAAAAGGCTACTGTCTAGATTCTTCCTCCTCTGTTCAGAATTCCCCAAGATCAAATCCACAAACCCTGGCATCTCTATTGGAGGTAGAGCAAAAAAGCTGGGTGAGATGTGGAACAAGTTAAATGACAGTGAAAAGCAGCCTTACATCACTAAGCTGGCAAAGCTGAAGGAAAAGGATGAGAAGGATGTTGTTGACTATAAATTGAAAGGAAAGTTTGATGGCACAAAGGGTCCTGCTAAAGTTGACCAGGAAGACGAAGATAAAGAAGATGAGGAGGAAGAGAAGGAGGAAGAAGAAGGAGGGAGGAGGAAAGAGGAAGGAAGGAAGAGGGAAGAGGGAGGAGGGAGGAGGGAAGAGGAGGGAGTAAGAGGAAGGAAGAGGGAGGAGGAGAAGGAGGGAGGAGGAGGAGGAGGAAGAAGAAGAAAAATAAACTGTTTATTTGGGGGGAAAAAAAACTAAACTAAAAACTCTTAACCAACCTTCTAGAATTCTTGGAAAACAGGGTATTCACCTGCTTCCCAATGAACATTAGCTAACTGCAGATGGCATGTCAGACTATAGGAAATTCAAATAAATTTATCTAATCCCAGGACACATCCTAAAAATTATCTTTTGACCAGTTTTCTCATCATTTACGTATTTAACAAACAAGCCTCTCCCTCTCCAACAATTCCCTGTAGTTGTGCGATTATTTACTGGGATTCCAAGGAGCTGGAGTTAACTAGACCAACATCATAACAGATGTTTCCAGGAATGTTTGAGATAACTAGGAATCATCTACTCATTTACTATTTTAATTAAACCAAACAGGATATAAACAGATAGTCTACAGTAGGTTCAGAGTAAGTATAGAAAACTGCAGCAGCTGTTACGTGCACTGCCTCGAGTTCACTGACAGTTCACACCCAGAGGTTTCAGAGGAGGGAGCCCACGCACAGGGGCAGATGTTTCAGGCACAAGATTCATTCTGGGCTTACAATTTCCTTGTCTTGCTCTCCACAGAGCCATGGCATGTGGATGGTGCATCCTAAAGCCCAGCCTCTCAGCCCTGCCAGCTTGAGGCTCGAGCTGGCCTACCTCCTTCCATCTTTCTTAAGGCCCAGAACTAACCTTACCGTGCACCAAATGCAAAAGGACTGATACTCAGGTGGTATTTTTTCGTTCATTTTCAGCTTTTGGCATAAAGCTTTATTTCTGCCTTTACAATAGTAAAGTCAATCAAAGCTATGGCAGAACATTGTAAACAGGATTAAACAGATTTCTTTTAAAACTAGGCAAGGAGGAAAGAAGGATGAGACTGTTACATTCCAATTTCCAACTCCATTGAAAATAAGGTCAGTTTTAAAGATGACTCTTATAGGACACAGGAAAATAGTTGTTTCTAAAGAAGAAAAAAATTTAAACTATGTGATGAAAGTATCCTTCAAAAGTGGCTAGCCATTATCCTTTGAAAAGTTACCTTTGTGGAAGTTTTAGAGATTTGTGTGCAAGTCTAAAACTGTATCAAAACCAACCAACCAACAAACTAACCAACAAAAACCCCTTGAGCCAAAACCCTAACACCCAACCACAGTCCTCAAGAGTAGAACTCTTCTTCTGCAAAGGATGGTTTGACAACCCAGGCCCCTTGCTTACCTGGCAATGCTCCGAAGTGGCCGATGATGAGCAGTGGAGGGTTTATCTGACCTCGTACTACTTTCCCCTCTTTGCAGAGCAGAAGGTCCCAGTGAAAAGATAGGAAGAGTGGAGTATGGCTTGGATGGCAGCCGCATCTATTATCCCAAATAAAACTGACAATGAGCAGTACTGTTAAAGAGGCAGTCACTAAAAGAAACACAAGTATAACTAAATCAAGCTTAGCTTACCTTTTTGCAACACTGTGAGCACACCGGCCTGTACACAAAATCATAAATGTTACTTGGTATGATACAGTGGATGCAACCGAGAGTTAGAGAAGCCTATGGCAGTACAGTTGTAAGTTTCTACAATAAACTGTAAAACTCTCCCTCCTTCTATTAGAATGTAACAAACTGACACACTGCAAATTGCCAAAAAGATAATCTACAGAACTTAACTCTTACATTGTCTCCTATAAAAGGACCAACTTACATCTGTTTGGAATTTTGTTATTTGTCTATCCGGGAATTGCATGGTAATCACATCTTATTTTTTTCTGTTCAAACATGACATATTATTAGAATGATCTTAGGTAAAATAAATAACATACAGAGAAACATTTTCTAAGCTCAATATCAAATAAATGTTTGGCTCCCTCTCTTGAGGAAATCAATGTTCCGAACCTGCAAGGACAGCACAAGGTAACAACTGAATGGGTTATTTCTAATTTTATTCCTGTGTAGAAAAATGGTGAGATAAGGTAATTCTCTTACAACTGTTAAATTTATCTTTTCATCAATTACAAAATACCTTACCTCTTACAGAACTGACAAGTATAAGACCAAGTGAAGAAGGAAAACCTCCTGGTTCGGCAACAAAAGCAGAGCTAAAAAACACAAATTTAAGAGGAAAAAAGAAGCATTGCCAACAGCAAATTTCCTAATATCCATGTTTGAATATGCTTAACATCTATATATGGGGAAGCTGAATAGACAGGAAAAGGAAGATAATTCAGAAATCCCGTTTATAACAGTTGGCTCTGTGATGCTGATAATGCAGCTCTGTATTTAATTATAATTCTATTTCAAAAGATAATAAAAGGCCACAGCTCTCAAGTTTCTCCTCATCATGGAAGGTTTCTGAAAAACCCTCCTTTGTTTCTCAGACACATTTTCTTTACAGATCCTTTAAAAGTGTACGACTAAATGCACATACGACTTTATGAAGGCATATCGTTATTTGTTATGGTTGCTCGAAAGCCTTCCAGTTTTGATTTTTAAGGGAAAAACAAAAATGCCCCCTCTTGTGAACGAGGCAGCACAGGCGCTGTCTGCTAGGATATGAACATCGCACCTCCCAAATCCCCTCTAAGATATGTTGCCACCTGGCTAGCAGATAACTCCTTCAGGAGACCATGCATGGGACTAGCCATTCTTCTACTCTTCTGATCAATCAACTTTAAACAGTGCTACCTTTCCTTTTTTCAAGGCGGTGTAGATGTCTTTATACTGTTGGTATTTTTCCAGCTCTGCCTTCACCAGGACCTGGCGAATATGCATCACTTCTTCCACAGTAAGAGCGAGGCATTCCACTGGGTAGCAGAATTCCTCCTGAAATTCAAAATGTCACATGAATAAGAGACTCCCACCCTCTGTTCTGGAAGCGCAAAATTTTCCTTCAGATCAGACACCTGATTAGTAGCTTCAGAGAAGAAAAGAGGTTTCCCAATACCTGTGGGAAGAGCTGGCTCCCTCTGGGGACCACATCATTTCTAATCACACTAAGGCTACAGATGGCAGAAAACATTTGGGGACCAAGTGATCTACTGAAATTTCCAATAAATGAAAGTTCCTCACATTTGCTCAGGTATTCTGACTCAAGTAACTATTCTGTTAAGCAGGGCTATATATCTATGCTTGAAATATTGAAAAAAATTTTATTCTAAACCAATTTTATGTCAGTTTTCTCCTATGCTTATAAAAAAACATTACTTAGTGTTGTGTTGTACACTATATACCAATAGATAAAAAGTAAATCTATATTGGTCCTTTTTTTTTTGGCAGCAGGGTCACATTGTGTTACCCAGGTTGAGGGCAGTGGCATGATCATGGCTCACTGTAGCCTTGACTTCCTGGGCTCAAGTGATCCTCCCACCTCAGCCTCCTAGGTAGCTGGGACTACAGGTACACGCAACCATGCCCAGCTAATTTTTTGTACTTTTTGCAGAGATCGGGTTTCACTATGTTGTCCAGGCTGGTCTTGAACTCCTGGGCTCAAGTGATCCACCCACTTCTGCCTCCTAAAGTGCTAGGATTATAGGCGTGAGCCACCATGCCCAGCCTGGCCCTGTTTTTTTTTTTTTTTGAAACAGAGTTTCACTCTTGTTGCCCAGGATGGAGTGCAATGGCGTGATCTCGGATCACCACAACCTCCACCTCCCAGGTTCAAGCGATTCTCCTGCCTCAGCCTCCTGAGTAGCTGGGATTACAGGCATGCAACACCATGCCCGGCTAATTTTGTATTTTTAGTAGAGATGGGGTTTCTTTAGGTTGGTCAGGCTAGTCTTCAACTCCTGACCTCAGGTGATCCACCTACCTTGGCCTCCCAAAATGCTGGGATTACAGGCATGAGCCACTGTGCCTGGCCGGCCTGGCCCTGTTTTTAAAATTGGTTTGTGGTACCCAGAATAGCCAAAAGAAGATGGTTAGTAATTTTTACTGAGAAGCATTATTTAGTGATCAGTTACATCAGCACACTTTACAAATTCTAATGGTATGAGTGAAACTGGAACATGAAACTGCTGGAGCCATTTATACCCAAAAGGCAGTCTCTCCAGGCTACTCCACAGTTCTCTACATTTCTGTTTTTACTTTCAACAACTGCTGATAGTCAGCACTGGAAAGACTAGAGAAATGTAAAATAATTTCACAATAAATATTTATGTTGGCTGTCTTGTGTTAATGGTTTCCCTACCAGCAGCTGCGGAAGATGTTGATGTAACTGATCTCACTGAATAAGAGCCTCACGCCCATCCGCTCCCCATCCGGCCCCACACTTGATTGGTGGATCTCAGAGAAAGACAGAACAGTCTTGTGCATTCGGACCCTGCCAGGCTGCAAGGGGCCATTGTGGTGCAGTGACACTGAAACTGAATGTTCTCAGTACAAACACATTATAATTCACTCCCACACACACACAACAGCATCGCTCACAGGCTTTCTGGAATCCAACACGCCAGTGAGAAAACATAGGACTATGAATGCAGTCAGTTTATAGAGCTTTAACAATCATTTCTGTCTTTCAATCAGAGAAAAACAAAAATAAATCTAGGTTGCAAACTTGTCAAACATTAGCATTTTACTTAAAGAAGTAGTCTGAAGAACGACTGCATTTTACTAAAAATCCATACAAAACTATCTCTGTTCAAGCTAACTTAAGGAAATTACATTTGCTTAAAAATGCTTTCAGAAAAATCCTGCAATTGAATTTTTAAGATGAGGAGCTTATTAGTATAAGAGGGCAGGTGAGTAAGTTTATCCAGAAAGATTAAGGCTCTAAGATGCTTAAAATATTCATTTAAAAAATCAACGATCACAGTTTTCTCTTTAAACAGGAACTACGTTCAGAGATGATAGGATTAAATTGGCGTGTTCGTGTCTGCTCTGTTTTGCTCCAACTTCAGAAAAGAGTAGCTTTAATTGGGAACAATAAACTGCCTTTCTGAAGGTTAGGCCATTCAAACTGTGCACTAAGTAAGTAGTGTTAGCTGAACACAACTGAATGATGGCATTTCTCAGCTTTTAATGTATTTCAGAAGTTTTGCTATTATTTTTATTCATCAGTGATGAGTATGACTAGGGTATACTTTCTGATGGCTAACTATGACAAAATGGCTATACTGCAACAAAATAATGTGGGAGTCTAGCACATACCCAGGTAAACACTACTAGATTTATTATGTAGCAAATAACCAGATAATCAGATTTGCTTTTGTGCATGCCAAGAAGACAGCAAACAGTACCAAATTTAACTGTCTTTATAACGTAGATACCTGAGCTGTAAACCCTTCAGGCAGATGGCGATTTTTTCATTTGTAGAGATACGCTAGCATGGCACAACAGACCTGACAGCTTGCACCTCCCTCTCTTCAGTCTTGAGTCACAAAAGGGCTTAGCAAATCACACTTTCAACTCACTGCTTTGACCCACATGAAAATCCAGTACTTCATGGGATACAATTTATTTATTTTTTCATTTTTTTGAGAACAGTGGCACGATCTTGGCTCAGTGAACCTCTGCCTCCTGGGTTCAAGTGATTTTCGTACCTCAGCCTCCTGAGTAGCTGAAATTACAAGTACGCACCACCACACCTGGATTACTTTTGCGTGGAGATGGGGCTTTGCCGTGTTGGCTAGGCTGGTCTTAAATTCCTGACCTCAAGTGATCCGCCAGCCTTAGCCTCCCAAAGTGCTGGGATCACACCTGTGAGCAACCATGCCTAGCCATCATGAGATATAATTTTAAAATAGTGGATTTTTGTTTGTTTTCTTGATCTTTTTTTAAAAAAAACATTCAAGCAGACTACCCTTTAGTGAAATAATTTCCATCCGGTCAAATGCTAATGTTTTAATTTTGGAGTTTTCCCAAGGACAACAAAACTTTAATGCAACATAAAAGAAAATGATAGTTACTAGAATAGTGTTAATTATTTTTTTCAGTTTATAAAAATATTAATTTGACACCTCCAAAGCCAAATTAAACTTGCACAGATCTTGTAGAGCTACTAGTGCTCTGGAATGTGGAGGGCACTCAAGGTTGCAGTGAGAGCAGGAGCCCTTTCCCAATACGCCACTGCCTGGGGCTCCCACTGCAAGTGTTCGGCCCATCTGAGTGGCCAGACATGGCTGGGGGAAGGACCACAGTAGCACAACTCTAGTTCCCTTGCTTGCCCATGTGTCAATGGGACTCCCAAATTCAGGAAAGGAAGGCTAAATCTTAGAGAGCTTTAATGAAGACAATAACGTGCTATAAGACTTTAAACTTACTTCTATTCATGTCATTAAAACTGCTGAGTATTTTTGATACTATACTGGCTATATTTTACCATTCAAAAGGGGTCAGTTAGCCAGCACAGAGACAGCTAATGTAAAATTTTGGTTATTGTGCCACAGAGAGAAATGGGAACAGATATCTTTTATACAGTGTTCATGATTAGTAAAAACTTCATAAATAAGTAACTGGTATTTGAAAATTACCCAAAACAACCATTGCTTTTTGAGTTTTTAATAAACCAAAGAGAGGCAAATTTAAATAAAAATAGCAACTATTACGTTTACTCTCCTCAACCAACTATAAAACTCAAAGTGAATCCTTTCTTTGCCTAAAGTGGTATATGGCCTTAGTGTACAGATATCTCTGTTTGGGGAGAATTGATAATAAAATGCCAGCAGTTTCTTCAATAGGGGCAGGAGTGACAGGAGTTAAAAAGCCACTCTGGCACCTGACCACATGCTGACCAAGGGCACATCTAAAATAGGAAAAAAAGGACAGAGATTTCCCCTGCATTTCATGACAAAGATCAGAGAAAGAAATGTGTTATGTCTTATTTACATTGAGTCTCCTTTCTATACTAAGATGGGCAAGAAAGAATAACCAAGAAACCAGCTGCAGGGTCATCTGTCAAGGACAAGATTAGTAAATCCAGGGCCTTAGAGAGCCAGGCCTTGCCTGCTGTGGCACAAAGGCTGCTCTGAACACCTGCTACGTGGTAGCAGCAGAAGTTCTGATGTGGTCCTGGAGCTTTTTATTTCACTTAGAAATGTGAAGGTTCAAATAATGGTGTATTATTCTGTGTAAAAAAACCTCAAAAAACAGTAATGTAATGCAGAACTATTTAAAATAGCCACATCAATAAAAAGGAAACTTAAAATTTATCTCTGCAGAGAAGTAACATACACCCTGACTGTCATAACACAGCTTCATGACAGGTGCTGGGAACACACAGATTTCCTGAGCCCACGTCCTGTGTATGCAGGTGTCTGTGGGCAGGTGGAGTCCACCATGGCTATCTGGCCTGGCAGGAGGCTGCTCTGCCCACGGAATAAGTGAGCAAATAGTCTTCTGGTGGTGGGGGGAGGCCCTAGGAGCAATGCACCCCACGGGCTCAGACTGCCTGCTGCACACAGAGAAAGATGGCAGCACTGTCCCTGCTATACAATTAGATCACCTGAGGAGACAAACACCCACAGGTGCCTCTTATCTGATGCTGCATTTTTAGTTTGTTGTCCTTTCACAGTTATTTCCCCTTCAACTGAGACCACAGCATGATCAGTGCATCCTGCACAAGAGTGGAATCAATGATTGGAAGCAAAGTGCTATCTAAGCTGTTAATTCTCAGAGAGCGCAACAGTTGAGGTGTCACCGTCAGAGATACAGAGAATGAAATAATCCCAGACCCAGCAGAAAGAGGCCAACCTTTGAGGATTTCCACCTGCTGGTAAAAGCTCTCTCACACAGATAATACATAGCCCCTGCTACCCCAAACATGGCTGCTTCAAAAGGATGAGAGCTGAGCAGAGAAGCTGTTTGTATGGTAGAAAAAAGTGGTCGGAAAGGCGTCCTTGGCCATACACTGGTTATCCTAGGAACCTGAACAACAGATAAGGGAAAAAGAGAACGGCAGGGGGAAAAGAACAGGAGAAAATAATGCTGAACACAAATGAACTACACATAGTGATTACAGATCACAAAAGGAAAACAAAACAAAAAACACCATAAGGATGGATTAGTCCATGCCAATGCCTGCATCCACAAGTATAAATCAGTGATGAAATCACGAAGTTTTTCCTGCAGAATCTGTGTTCACACAGCAGGGATTTTTCTAATTTAGAGTCCTGTGAACACTCTGAGTTTCCTCAGTGGGGCCTGTTGTGACGAAGGACAGAGGCAACTGCTTACTGTGCCCGAGAAAGCATAAGGACATGTGCCAGGCAGCCACTTGTGCCAACACGAGGTGCCTTTAGACTAGATGAGCACTCGCCCTCAGTTATTTGATCAAATGATGAAAAAAATTACTTTACACATCACAAGGGAGGGAGATACAATAAAAATAAAAATAATCAGCTGGGCGCAATGGCTCATGCCCGTAATCCCAGCACTTTGGAAGGCCGAGGCGGGTGGATCACCTGAGGTCGGGAGCTCAAGACCAGCCTGACCAACATGGAGAAACCCTGTCTCTACTAAAAATGCAAAATTAGCCGGGCATGGTGGTGCATGCCTGTAATCTCAGCTACTCGGGAGGCTGAGACAGGAGAATCACTTGAACCCGGGAGGCAGAGGTAGCGGTAAGCCAAGATCACACCATTGCACTCCAGCCTGTGCGACAAAAGCGAAACTCCATCTCAAAAAAAAAAAAAAAAAAAATTATCAATAAAACATTCCTGCCATTTTCAGTTGAGGAGTTATAAACACAAACTGATTCTACGTTTTCTAAAATGCAGCTACATTTTTAAATTAATTACACTTATAAAAACAATACTTACCAAGCTATAGGGCGTTACTACAAGGTATGATTTTATGGATTTCCCAAGATAAGCTATTAGCAAGAAAGATCATTTAATTTTGTCTCCACTGGTGCTCGGAGGCCTGTATGAACTCTGCTCCTTGCCCTCAATCTGACGACCATTGTTGAGTGCTGACCAGAGGGGCCCTCCCACTGCCTGCTTGCCGAGACCTTCTTCAGTGATTGCAAATTAGTTTATCTTGCTCTCCTTCCTGCTCCACAAAGTAACAGTGCATGGCCTGACCAAGCATACACTAAGAGCTCCAGGAAACAGACATGTTCATGGGCCCTTGGTGTTGGCTCAAGGTCTTAGCATAACTTCTATTATTAGCTGAAACTACTTTACAGCAAATCTGATAGTTCCTTTACATTGTTAATTTTAAACTTAAGTCTAACCTCAATAATGACATTGTATGATCACGTAAGAGCCAGTTACAAGCTAAATGATAGACTGGCTTCTAGGAAAAGCTGTGTGAAGACGAGAATACCCTAATAATTAGACTTATGAAAAAAAACACAAATTATCTCTTACATATATATACATACACACACATACACACACATACACATATGTGTGTGTATATATGTATATACACTTTTTAGAGACAGAGTATTGCTCTGTCACCTATGCTGGAGTGGAGTGGCACAATCTTAGTTCACTGCGGCGTCAAACTCCTGGGCTCAAGAGACCCTCCCTCTGCAGCATCCTGAGTAGCTGGGATTACAGGCACGCACCACAACATCTAAGTTTTTAATTAAAAATTTTGTAGAGACAGAGATTTCATTGAGTTGCCCAGGCTGGTCTCAAACTTCTGGCCTCAGGCGATTCTCTTCCTTGGGCCTCCCAAAGTGCTGGGATCACAGGGGTGAGCCACTGAGCCTGGCCCCTCTTACGTGTTTTAAAGTTGTGATAATAACGATATATTTTGGTAAAAGCAACAACTTATTCACATGAAAACAAGTTTTTGGATTTTTAAGTTTGAATCCGTCTGGTCAGAGTTCTGTTTTCCTGTTGGTAAACCACTGACAAGGCTACAATTTGATCAAATAGCTGTGTTTTGGTGATTATTCTAGAGCTAGAAGAATTTCTATCAGGTATGGCCATAAAATTGTTAGTTCTTCAATTGCACTGTTTTGGAATAGAGATGACTGACTAAATGTTAACATTCTAAGCTCTGTTCAAAATCCTTGTCTTTGGCTGGGCATGGTGACTCGTACCTGCAATCCCAGCACTTTGGGAGGCTATGCTGGCCAACATGGTGAAACTCTGACTCTACTAAAAATACAAAAAATTTAGCTGGGCTTGGTGGTGCAGGCCTGTAGTCCCAGCTAGTCAGGTGGCTGAGGCATAAGGGTCGCTTGAACCCGGGAGGTGGATGTTGAAGTGAGCCAAGATTGTGCTACTGCATTCCAGCTAGCAACAGAGCGAGACTCAGTCTCAAAAAAACAAAACAAAACAAAATCCTGTCTTCACAATAACTGCATTATCTCCCATCTGTTATTACTTTAATTGAAACTCTAACAATTCGTCACAGCCTTATAAAAAAGGACTTAAGCATTAAATGTATTCTAGTATTTTTTATTCTAGAATAAAAAATACTAGAATATTTTTTCTAGAATATAAAATATTTTCTAGAATAATATTTTAGAAATATTTAGAAAATAAAATATTTTCTAGAATAATATTTTATTCTAGAATAAAAAATACTAGAATACATTTGTGTTTGAATACATTGTGTTTGAATATTTGAAAACACATTAGATATCTGACTGTGGGTAGAATATTAATTGTAGCCATGCATCTTGCCTATAAATATTTCAGAAGCCAAGTGGGGCTACAAAAGTGTCTTTGGAGAACTCCTTTGGCTGGGACATCTATTAATTCCTCCTGGCAGACCCTTGTGTGCTGTCCACTGTCCTGAGAAATGGGCACCCACTGTAAGAACCTGCAAGTCTCTGGAAAACAGCAAAAACTGTTAACCAGTTCAACCAAAAGAACACTACTGGCCCCAAAAATCACAAAACATACTAGAAAACAATGTACAGTGGTTATTAATGGATCAAAATTCTCCCTCTTGTACTTTTGCCTCAACAATATCATCTACTGTAGTCATTTTGCTAAGAATTTTTTTGGTCAATTTTTAACAATTTTTATAGCATTTGAAAGAAAGCAAGCATTTCTTTAGTAATAAACCATACTTTCAACCACTGATAAATTTTCTGGAGAAAAAAAGAGCTCAAAATGAACAAACACTGTCAAGATTCATTTAAGTTACGGATAGTGTTTGGACAAGGTGTCACTCTGTCGCCCAGGCTGGAGTGCAGTGGTACAATCATAGCTCACTGCAGCCTTAACCTCTTGGGTACAAGTGATTCTCTCACCTCATCCTCCCAAGTAGCTGGGACCACAGGTATGCACTACCACACCGGGCTCATCATTTTAATTTTTGTAGAGATGGGATCTCACAATGTTGCTGAGGCTCGTCTTGAACTCCTGGAGTCAAGCAATCCTCCCACCTCGGCCTCCCAAAAGTGTTGGGATTACAGGCATGAGCCACTATGCACAGCTGTTTGTTTTCTTTAGCTATTAAGTAAGTTATTCAAAGTTCATTCTAACTTTTGCAAGTTCTTTTCTCCTTATCATCTTCATAAGAAAGCTAATGACTTTAGGTCTTCCATTTGATCCCTAAGTTACTAGTGGTCTTTCCTGTACTTACAAGAGAGCGGGAACTCTGCCTGGAAGGAGGCAGGAACTGCCTCACGTTAGTAGGCGTTTCCTTTTCAATGGAATGTCGTCTCTGGGGTGGCTGCCGTCTCTCTGGCTGGGGTGTTGATGATATGGGCAGGAACTTTGGAGGCTCTAAAGATTTAACCAAATGAAATAAAACTCACTGTGAATTTTCTAACACAAAACCCTTTGACAGTTGTGACAAACACGGTATTTGAAGATGAATTATTTATTTCATTGGAGAGCTATTTTAAGATGGCAATGGTAATCCTTAGGAGCAGACTCTGAGGACTGTTACAGAAGAATCTTTGCAAAGTAAATTTGCTAAAGAAATAGCAAGAAAAAAGGTAGAATGTTAGGTGTGGCCAGAAAGATTCACAAATCATACAAAAATTTTCAAGTGTACCCTCTTTTTACATCCTCTTTTTAAAGATAAAATAAAGGACACCCTTCTTTCTACGTTTACCAAGACATTTTGTTTTTAAGTTTATATTAAACTGTATTTAAACTGCAAAAAGTAGGCTTCAGCTTTGATGTTAATATTGTACCACTGTCCTCCTCTGCCTAGTAACATTTTAAGATAGTGTTTAAAAGGAGAATGCTTTAGCATCTGAACGGTTCTGGATTCACTTTTTGAAAACTTAAGGAGAACATTAGAAATAAATTATGGTGCCAGAGTTTTATTTAGTGCTTCCTCCTACTCTATGTACAAAGTAGAGCTGCTAAAATGTAGTGGGTGTAGAAAGTGAGAGTCAACACAAAGTTACATATGATCCATCCATTTAGACCGCCCCACCAAGAGAAACCACTAAGGAAAATACAGATATAATTTCCACAGTCCAGAAAAGATACAGAATTCCATTATGTGATCCAACTGGGTCCCTACAATATTTAATAGGCTTGGCCAAATACCAATTGTGGATAACTAGCCAGCACTGACTACTTTTTATATAATCTGTGTAAATAATAAAAACACTACTTAAATAATTTTTGCATATGAGAAATCAAGCCAATATATAATTTTTAATCCTTCATAATGATCTTATAAATGAAAAGGATTATTAAAAGGCTTTAAAAATCCCTTAACTTTAGATATCTGTGTTCAGAAACTATCTCCTAAAGATTTATAAATGTGTTTTCACTATCTACACAGGTTTTTGAATATGGGTGTCTGTGGGTCGTAGGTGGAGTGATAATAAATATGGTTTTTTAGGGCTTCTGGTTTAAATTTAGCCAAGGAGGTACTCTATCTAAAACAAAACAAAACAAAACACATACAACTGATTTATATATTTCCCATGACTATTGTTCATAAAAACTAATGTGCCTGCTCTGTCATAAGACCCTGAGGCCTGGTGAACAGGTTATCCCTACCTTATGATGACACCCTTGGAAAATGAGTATTTCATCTCCTGATCAGTGAAATGCCAGAGTTAGTTCTTTCTACCCCAAATGATCACAAGGTACTCTGGAATCCTTGCTCTAGGTCAAGTGTGTTTTGTAATAAGATATCTGACTCTCGATCTTTGCACCACAACTACTCACTCTTCCTCGTGGACATGGCCTCCAGGACTGGATCTTCAGGGAAAGAGGGAGACACGCTGCTGCTGCTGGTCGACTTGTGCAGGGTTTCCTCCTGAGTGAAGTACAGGTGGAGAAATCGATTTCTTAGACATTTGTGCTCTCATGCTATATGCTACTTAATACCATTTTATTATTAAACAGTTATTTTAACATGAGGCACCAAATTACATCAAAGTTTCAAGGCAAGTGAAGACAAACTACAGGGGGTCTAAAATTAGACAGGTCTGGGTTTGTGCCTTGGCTCTGCCCTGATTAGGGTGATGTAACACTGAACATGCTTCTTTCTTTTCTTTGGAGACAGGGTCTCACTGTTTCTCTGGCTGCAGTGCAGTGGTGTGATCTTGGCTCACTGCAGCCTCCACCTTCTGGGTCCAAGTGATCCTCCCACCTTGGGTACATGTGATTCTCTCACCTCATCCTCTCAAGTAGCTGGGACCACAGGTGTGCACTACCACACCTGGCTCATTATTTTAATTTTTGCAGAGATGGGATCTCACAATGTTGCTGAGGCTGGTCTTGAACTCCTAGAGTCAAGCAATCCTCCCACCTCGGCCTCCCAAAGTGTTGGGATTATAGGCAGAATCAGTAGCCAGGATCACAGGTGTACACTTCCACACCCAGCTAATTTTTAAATTTTTTTGTAGAGACAGGGGTCTTCCTATGTTGCCCAGTCTGGCCTTGAGCTCAAGTGATCCTCCCACCTCAAAGTTCTGCAGTAACAGGTGTGAGCCACTGCACCAGGCCTGAGGATGCTTCTTATCTTAGTTTTATCATTGTGAAAGAGGGTATTTAATATCACTTTTTCCATAGTGTTATTGGAAAGATTAAATGAGGTAATACATTCAAAATGCTTAACACATTACCTGGCACACAATAAAACAGTGGTTAATATTATAAGGGAAACTGAGGTCAGGAGTTCAAGACCAGCCTGGCCAACATGGTGAAACCCTGTCTCTACTAAAAATACAAAATTTAGCTGGGCAAGGCGGCAGGTGCCTGTAATCCCAGCTACCTGAGAGGCTGAGGCAGGAGAATCACTTGAACACGGGAGGCAGAGGTTGCAGTGAGCCAAGATTGCACCACTGTACTCCAGCCTGGGCGACAGGGCAAGACTCCATCTCAAAAGAAAAAAAAAAAGGTCAGGTACAGTGGCTCACACCTATAATCCCAGCACTCTGGGAAGCTGAGGTGGGCGGATCATCAAGTCAGGAATTCCAGACTAGCCTAGCCAGCACAGTGAATCTCCATCTCTACTAAAAATGCAAATATGAGCTGGGCATGATAGTGCACGCTTATAGTCCCAGCTACTTGGGAGGCTGAGGCAGGAGAATTGCTTGACCCTGGGAGGCAGAGATTGCAGTAAGCCGAGTTCGTGCCACTGCACTCCAGCCTGGGCGACAGAGCAAGACTCTGTCTCAAAAAAGAAAAAAAAAAAAAAGAAAAATGTCTACATTGTACCAAACAAAATTAAAATTCCTATTACCAGTGAGAAGAGATCCTAACTTGTTTTAGACTAAACCAAAATGAAGTGTATTTATTCACAAAATATTTACTAAATACTTTGTGATATAAACATTAACTTGTAATTTCTACTTAGTATCTAAAGTTTTAAACACAAAAGGAAGAATATTAGGCAAATATATTCACTCATGACTATGTGAGATTAATAGTGAAAATTATTTGATGTTCTTAGCTAAAATAACAAAAATTAAAAAAAAAATTTCAATTGTTTTATTTTGCTTTAAGCTCTGGGATACATGTGTAGGATGTGCAGGTTTGTTACATAGGTAAATGTGTGCCACGGTGGTTTGCTGTGGCTATCAACCCATCACCTAGGTATTAAGCTCAGCATAAAATAATTTTTTAATAATTAGCTATTCACCAAAAACTGGTCTGACCTAAAACCTACTGCTGAAATCATTAGTTTCATGTAAGCTACAATACAGAGTCTGGTCAAAGAACAGGGCAAGAAAAAAGGCCATGTAAGCCACATAGTTCAAACAAAAAAGGGCTAGTCTGGGCGAACTGGCTCATGCCTGTTATGCCAGCACTTTGGGAGGCTAAGGCAGGCAAATCACTTGACGTCAGGACCTCGGGAATAGCCTGGCCAACATGGTGAAACTCCATCTCTACTAAAAACACAAAAATTAGCTGGATGTGGTGGCAGGTGTCTGTAATCCCCGCTCCTCAGGAAGCTGAGGCATAAGAATCACCTGAGCCTGGGAAGCAGAGGTTGCAGTGAGCTGGGATCATGCCACTGCACTCCAACCTAGGCGACAGAGTGAGACTCTGTCTCAAAACACAAAAACCAAAAAAATCAAAAAAGGTTTAAACAGTGACCTCCACACTTTTGGGACTTATGAAGAACAAATCAGGCACTGTAAGCAAAGCTCTATCCCAGATATGATGCAGGTCACACTAATCTCCAAAAAAGCTCGCACGCAATTAGAACAATCTTTTTCTGTTTACAGAAGTTCAGAAGGAAATAAAAGCACAGAGTATCTCTTAGGAAAAGGAATAAAGAAGTTATATACAGTACTTCCCAAATAATTATCTGCTGAGGAGTCATACACAATACTTCCCAAATAATTATCTGCTACCGTGATTAAAACAGCAGAAACCATCCCTGTGCCTCACACGCTTCACCCACCTTTGCTAGCAATATTTTTGTAGTCTAACTTTACATGTTGTTACCTTTGTTAGCGTTAAGGGAGAATTGGATCATGTTTCTTTACTCCAGCGTAGAAACTATTTAGAGTTAAATTTTGTACAATGAAAATATCATAATTGGCCGGGTATGGTGGCTCACGCCTGTAATCCAAGCACTTTGGAGGCCAAGGCAGGCAGATCACCAGAGGTTGGGAGTTCAAGACCAGCCTGACCAACATGGTGAAACGCCGTCTTAAAAAAAAAAAAAAGAAAATACCATATGTAATTCTGTAAGAAAACTATCTCTGAGAAAAAGATGGCTCTATAAACAAATAAGTATATCGGTCAGAATGAAGTTTTTTTTTTTTTTTTTTTTTTTTTTGAGTTGGAGTCTTGCTCTGTCGCCCAGACTGGAGTACAGTGGCACAATCCCGGCTCACTGCAACCTCTGCCTCCCAGGTTCAAATGATTCTTCTGCATCAGCCTTCTAAGTAGCTGGGACTACAGGTGCACACCACCACATCTGGCTAATTTTTGTATTTTTAATAGAGACAGGGTTTCACCACATTGGCCAGGCTGGTCTCGAACTCCTGACCTCATGATCTGCCCGCCTCAGTCTCCCAAAGCGCTGAGATCACAGGCATGAGCCATCGCGCCAGGCCAGAATGAAGTCTTTTATAAGAAATAAAAAAGACCAGTAATTTTATGACCACAAATGTTAAAATTCCAAAGAAAATTGAAAACATGAGAAGCATAGTAATCTGTATCTGAAGTGGTGGAGCCAGAGCACACTACTGCAGTTCAGCACTGGCCACACTTCCACTCAGCTCAAAGAACACCAACATCTGGCCGTACATGTGATGTGGCTCTCTCAAGTTTACTTTATATTTCATGTCCTTTTTACGTACGTGTTGACCTCCAAAACAAGGAGAGCAGTGGAGGGAAGCTTTGCTGGAAGGGGCTCTTTCTCTCGTTCAGACTTTATTCTCAGTGAAGTCCTATAAAACCTCAAAGCTGGATTTTTCCACCACTGCTTCTGATCTTTAAAATGACTACTCAATGTTTGATGATCCTGACAGTCCTTTGAAGAAGCAAAACAACTTAATCAATAGGCTTCACTGTGTCCAAATGAGCCAGTTCCACTCTAATCAGTCAGAAGAACCTGAGTGCACAATTCAGCATTTCTCAGCATCTTTTTTATCTAGAAAATGTGGTTAGGTCGAATATTCTTTACAGTCCTCTCCAGGTCAAAAATGTAAACCGAAACTAAGTGTCTTTCCTTTCCGGGCACGGTGCCTCACACTTGTTTCCCAGCACTTTGGGAGGCTGAGGCCAGAGGATCTCTTGAGCCTGGGAGTTTGAGACAGCCTAGGCAACATGGTGAGAGCCCATTTCTACAAAAAATAATAAGAGAAAAAAGAGCCACGTGTGGTGGCATACCCCTAAGTTCCTAGCTACTTGGGAACCTGAAGCAGGAGGACCCCTTGAGCACACGAGGTCGAGGCTGCAATGAGCTGTGTTTGCACCACTACACTATAGCCTGAGTGACAGAGTGAGACCTTGCCTGGAAAATAAGTCTAAGTAAGTCTTTCCTGAATCTCCCTTTCCAAAGTAACACTAAAAATTTGTAGATATGGTTCTAGGGGAATTAAAATTTCAGTTTAGGTGAATTTAAAGGTAAATTTGATTTTTAAATCTTTTTTTTATTATTTTTTGAGACAAGGTCTCACTCATTCAACCAGGCTGGAGTGCAGTGGCATAATCTGTTCACTGCAACCTCTTCCTCTTGGGTTCAACCGATTCTCCTGCCTTAGCCTCCCGAGTGGGTGAGATTACTGGCAAGTGTGCCACCATGTATGGTTAATTTTTATATATTTTTTTTAGTAGAGATGGGGTTTCGCTACATTGGCCAGTCTGGTCTCGAACTCCTGACCTCAAGTGATCCTCCTGCCTTAGCCTCCCAAAGTGCTGGGATTACAGGCCTGAGCCACCACCGCATTGGCCACATTCTGATTTTTTTTTTTTTTTCATCTTAATAATGCTGAATACTTTTATTTTACTCTCACTCTTTTTTAAAAATATATATACTTTACTAGATCTCCTGAGACTCTTCCAGATGCAATTGAGGCAAAACTAGATTTTGGCACTAAGAGGGTGCATTCTCTATTTAAAAAGCAGTAATACAAGAAAACCACATAATATATTCAAGTTTTTATTTTCATTAATTAGTTAATTCAAGACAGGGTCTCACTGTATTGCCCAGGCTGGAGTGCAGTAGTGCACTCATGGCTCACTGCAGCCTTGACCTCCAGGGCTCAAGTGATCCTCCCATCTCAACTTCCCAAGTATCTGCGACTACAGACATGTGCCACCATGCCTAGCTGGAATGGTGCTAATTTTTTT